TTTATAATTTATATTTAATTTTGTTATAATTTTAATTGTTACAGCGATGGAATCAATTCATGATACTGTTATTCACTACAAGTAGAACCTAACTTTTATAACTGGTGTGAATCCAGATTTTTATAGCATCATTGATTTTGTTAAAGATGTAACAACAGTAGCTTTATCTCATATTCCACCTACTGTCCCTTTGTCACTGTTTTTGTCTTGTGTTGTTCCTGGGTCTTCTGCTAAAATGCATGTGGATAGTGATAAAGATGTGCTAGAGATGTTTAAAGTAAATGCTAGTAAGAGATTGATAGACTTGTATATTGACAAGGTTGTGACTGATGTAAGTCCTGAATTTGCCTCAATTGAGACGATGGAGTTTGATGATGGGGAGTTTGATGATAAGACATTTGATGACAGTAATGTCAATGACAATGATGACAATAATGTCAGAGAAAATGAGACCAATATAAATAAGAACTATCAGCATGAGGATGAGTATGATTTGGAATATGATAATGATGTATTTGGGTTTAATTATGAAGATGAAGAATGGGAAAATAGTGGGAAGGGTAAGAATCCAGTTCACAATAATGATGTGAATAGGAATGTGGAGGAAGAAAAGAACCACAGTGAGGATGGTATGTCAAACTATGAATCTAGAGATGAACCTGGTACTAAATCTGATAATGACATGTATGTGGAAGAAGAAGAGTGTGAGATAAATGTTGAACAACAGAAACTGAAACAGCAAGGGGTAGGTACTATGCAAGTTGTTTAAAGGGATTATATTTGAGAGAGGTTTGGATAGAAAGATTAAGTTAGATGAAGGTCATCTATTTCTCAATCTGAACCATTTTAGGGATATTTTGGTTGATTTTTGTGTCCAAAAGGGATGTAATATAAAAAGAGTTAAAAATGAGAAGCAAAGAGTGACTGTAAGATGTGCAGTTCAGGGGTGTCCATGGAGGGTACGTGCTTCCCGTTTGGTAAATAAAGTAACTTATCAACTCAAGACAATTAGAGGTCCACACAATTGTTTGAGGAGTGGCACTGTAAGGGATACAACATCCACATGGATTGCTAAAAAGCTTGGGCAGAGTATAAAAAACAATCTAGGGGTTCCACTTGATGCATTGTATGCAATAGTGATGAGCCAATTCAAAGTTGATGCAAGACCCATGCAACTATACAGAGTTAAAAGGAAAGTTATGGATGAGTTAGAGGGAAACCATGAGGAAGCATACACTTTGCTTCCTAAGTATGCTAATGAAATTTTCAAATCTAATCCTGGTAGTATCATAAAGCTTGAGAGGGACTTGCTTACTATGACATTTAAAAGAATTTTTATGTCTTTAGAAGCTATGCAATCTGGATTCAAGAATGGTTACAAGGGGTTCATTGGATTGAATGGTTGTCACCTAAAGACCCCTTATGGTGGTGTGCTCTTGTCTGCTATATCCCTTGATGGGAATAATGGCCTTTTTCTACTGGCTGTGGCTGTGATGGAGAATGAAGGGAAAAAAAAACTGGAAATTCTTCCTTCAAGAGTTGCAAAATTTTGTTGAACTTGGTCAGGATAGACATCTATGCTTCATGTCAGATCAGCAAAAGGTAAAAACTTAATTTATTACATGTAATTTTTATATCTAATAAGTTACATGAAATTTATATATCTAATTTTTGCTTTTCACTTGTGCCTAGGGTCTTGAACAAGCAATGAGAATTGTTTTCCCACATACAACCCATAGGCTATGTTGCAGACATCTATACAACAACTTCAAAAAGAAGTATCCAAGATTGCTTTTGCAGTCTTTTTTTCTGGAAAGCAGCTAGAGCCTATAATGATTACACATTTAATGAGGCAAATGAGGGAGGTGTCAAGAGAGACTTATAATTGGGTCTTAAAAATAGATGTGTCCAAGTGGTCAAGGCATGCATTTTCTGACCAGGTGAAGAGTGACCATGTCACCAATAATTTTAGTGAGTTATTCAACAATTGGGTTGGGAAGCTTAGGTCTAAACATATTTTAGGCCTGTTTGATGGTATTAGGAGTAAATTGATGAGCATACTCCTAATGAGGGCTGAAAAGGCCAGTACTTGGATAGGATTGATGACTCCAAACATTAGGAAAAAATTGAACAAGTTGATTGATGAGTCTAAATCATGTAATGTTACCCCAGCAGGGCAAGATGAGTATGAAGTCATGAATGAGGAAGGAAAGCATATAATGAAGCTTAGATCAAGGTCATGTGATTGTAGAGGATGGTAGATTTATGGCCTCCCATGCAAACATGCAACTGCAGCTATAACACACAAAAGAACAGATATTGAACAGTTCTGTGATCTATGTTTCTATAATCAAACATACATGAGAACTCATTCTAGTATGATTCACCCAATACCTGATCAGAGAATGTGGAATCTTGTGCATTGTAACCCTGTGGAACTTCCAGTTCCAAGGAAAAAGCCTGGCAGACCAAAAAAAAAGCCAGGATAAGAGATGCAGATGAGCCTGCAACTGCAACTAGTAGCAAATCCCTACAATGCTCACAGTGTGAAGAATTTGGGCACAACAGGAGAACATGCAAAGTGGGTCAACCGAACCAGGTAAATCACTTATAAATGTTTTAATATTAAGTCATGAGTTAATTCCCTTTAACTTGTGACATTATTTAACACTATATAAGAACTTGCAAGGATATACAACTACACTAACAACCAGTTAAGTTGGAAGTGGAACTTCAAGTTTTACCAGTTTAACAGAAGAGGTATAACTTTTTTTTTTTTTTTTTTTTTAATTTTTAAAGAAGAGGTTTAACTTTATTTCTATTTTTCTTAAATAGATTAAGTTTATTTTAATTGTAATCATAGATGATGAGACCTACATCAGTTATTCAATTTGGGTGTCAAAGCTCAACTTTTTCACAACAAGTATAACTTAACAACTTCTCCACAACAATTATAACTTAACATGTATAGCTAATGTCTTTCTTAACTGACAAACTAGCATTGGTTTCCTTTTAATCACAGACAATGAGGAATGCAGGTAGAAAATCCACTGTAAGCACCAACCAAGTTAGAAGAGGGTGTGCAACCTCAAATTAATCAAGAAGCACCAACCAAACTGGAAGAGGGTATGCAAGCTCAAGCTCAAATCAAGCAGGAAAAGGCATTGTAAGCACCAAACAACCTGGACAAGGCTCTGCAACATCAAATCAACCAAGAAGACCCAATGCAGTCAAATTTTAAGTTCAAAGAGGAACTGGAAGAAGCAACCAATCTGGAAGGGACACTTGAAGATGAAGAAGAAAGCAGTTGAAGATGCAGCCATAATATACTTAACTATATAAATATATTTTTGTGGAAATTTATGAAACTTTTGTTGTTTAAGTACTTTGTGGGTAACTCAGTTGTCCAAAAAGAATAGGCAGGTATATAATGGACTTTATGGAGTTGGGATTAACTTTTGGTATAGCTTTTGGACAACTCAATGTAATACTCTGAATTTTATTGCTAAATGATATGGTATGTTTTTTTGGCTAACTTTGTTTGTATGGTATGTTTTGTGGACAATTGATTGTTTGTATAGGTTGTTTATATTTATGGGTTGTTTGTCATATAGGTCTGAATTATTTGTCAATGCAGTTTGTCAATGCAGAGCTTGTCAATGTAAAGTTTGTCAATGCAGTTTGTCAATACAAGTCATATAGTAGTGAAGTCCATGCTATTACCATCATTCATTAAGAACTCCATTAAGAACTGAAGATCATTCAATACAAAAGATAATTACTAAAGGCATACCACCTTCAATATACAACTGAGAAAAATAATACAACTGAGAAAAATGCAAGAAATAAACTTGCATTGATAAACAGCTCATGAATCCAAGGGGTTTTTCAAACATTGCAAATTAAGACCTTATCTCACCAATTTCACACACTGTCTCACCAACCTCAGACCTTAGTACACCAATTTTAGACCTTAGTTTACCAATCTCAGAACTTATCTCAGCAACATGTGTCATAATCTCAACAATTACATCTTCTTGGTTACATGTAGTAGAGTCCACCACATCGTCTATAATGCAACTTATTGGATTGCACCATTCCCAAACACCACAAGTTCTAGTTAGACAAACATAATACAACTTCCCCTTATTGTTACAATCATTAGAACCTGTGACCTTAATTACACATTTTGTTTTTGATCTACATTTGCAATACAAATCCCTATACCTTAAATCACCCAAGCTTGAAGCTTTTCCCTTTGAACTTGTAGACATGTTTTCAAAAATAAAAATCCAGATATTTGAAGAACAAATTGTAACCCACAAGACCTTCGCTATTCTCCAAATATTTGAAGAACAAATCGTAACCCACAAAAATGAAATTTTCAAATTTTTGAAGAACAAATTGAAAATCCAGATATTTGTTTTGAAGATAACAAATCGTAACTCAGAATTCAGCCTTTAATTTGTATATGAACAAAACTTACCCAAATGTTACAGACAGAAGAACAATCTTCTTCTTTATCGTTTTTCTTCAAATTACAGAACAATCTTCTTCTTCTTCCTTTCCAAAGCTCCCAACACTTGATTTGCACAACACAACCAATATGGAGCAGCTTCTCACAATGGTAACAACTTCATCTTCTTCTTCTCTTCAGCCCTAAAGAACCGTCATGTCGCACAACGATTATATATGTGTCTTATATATATATATATATATATATATATATATATATATATATATAATATGATATAAATATAATATGAAACAATACAGGCAAGGGTATTTTCGGCATTTCATGAAAAATAGTAGATGACGTTATCAATTTCTGTCGTTGACTGGCGTTGACCGTAACGGAAGGGAAATCTGTGTAAGATATTTTTAAAAATAAGAGAGGTCCGTGTAATTTTCGAAATAAGAAAGGTGTTGCCTATAATTATGGCAAACTATAAGGAGGTATGTGTAAATTACCTATATATTTTTACCCACAAGGGACACTTGCGCAGAACCCTCTTAATTAAACTTGTTCTGCTCTCTTTCTGAAGGCTTGCCCTAGCTCTTCTCCTTCCGTCCTCTCTCTTAAACGATGATGATCCCTCTGCCTTTACATGACATCTAGTGGTGAAAAACTTGTATGGTCTTCCCAAATATGGATTTCTTTCTTTTCAATTGAAGTCATTGCCAACTGATTTTCTCTTTCTCAAAGTGGGTATTGTCTTGAAGAGCCCCCAACAACAGCAGCCGGAACGATCTTTCCTGATATCCTCTGCTCTCCTATCGACGAGTCCTCACCGTCTTCAACATCAATCCCACCGCCGGTAATTTTCACTACTCAATTCCCTTATTTCCCAATTAATGAACCCTAACTGCTTATACATTCACTATATACACGCATATACACATATAATTAACATGAATGCTTTAGACGCACAAAACTTGAGTGTTTGCTCGTACAAGCGAGGATTTGGGCTGTGGTAATATTTTTACTGTTATTTGAATCTGCATTTTTTTCCTTCTATTTTTTTTTTTTTTTTTTGGGAGTATTGTGTTAATAATTATAATTCTTGAATTTTCTGTATCCCTTTATGATTTTTAAACAGCATTTGCAACTCGAAGTCATCAAAAGTTCTACTGTTGCAACAAACTTCTCTTATATTCATATATTTGAAGTGGCTTATAGATGTACCGTAGAAATGGTATTCTGATGTGTTTTATATCATCTTTCCTCCGGATAGGGAAGATTATGAAACCAACTTACATATGAGAAGGTATGCATAATTACGCTAGTTCTATAAATAAAAACTGAAAATCTTAAATATTACTAATGATTAGTGATTACAGTGGAAAAATCATAGACATTTTTGGTCGTCGATAGTGCTAGTAGCCTAGCAAATGTGCTGTAAGTCTTGTTACAAGGCCGCATTCAGTGATCATATTGTTCACTGCTTACCTTTGTCTTTCTTGACATTCATTAATTTAATTTTCTTTCTGGAAAGTCCTTTTTTGTGGGTTTTGTTGATTGATCTTAGTAGTATATAATTTGCAGTTTATTGGCTTCTTCTTTGTCTAATTGGGTGAACATCTAATTCAATTCAATTGAGAGGCAGCAAAGTCAGTCCATCAATGGTGAGCAAAGTCAGTCCATCAATGGTGGACAAAGCTTCTTCTTCATCTTCCTTGTTTTTGTGGTCCAAATCTTCATTTTTGAATATTCTTCTGATGGGTTTTAAGGTATTTTTTTTTTGGGAAAAAAAAAAATCATAACAAACTAAATTTAGTATTATTATAAATTATTGGCCTAAGTTGTATCCATCTCCTTTTGGAATTAAGTTTTAAAAAAGTTTTATTGGGGCAAGAAAACAGAATGTCTAAACAAGACTTTATATCCCATTGATCTTCTTATCCACAAGTGGAGTGCAAGTTAGCTGTAAAGCTAATTAATTGATAACTAGAGCCAACAAAACAAAACAATTTTTTTTTTTGATAACTAGAGTGTATCATGTAGATAAGAAGAAGTGCAGAGTATGTGTCCAAGGACAAATGTTATTTTGAGACTATACAGCTTAATCCATAATTCTGACTTTTCCAGTTATGCAGACTTGGTTCCAGCTACACAAGATGTTTAAGAGAGGGTTTTGTGTTTTTTTTTTCTTCTTTCATTTTTTTAGTTATTATATAAAAAATATATGTATATATATATATATATTTATCTGACAAGGAGAAGGTGTCACGCCCCGTCTTGGTGTGCACGAATTGGTTAGAGTGGTGCTGAAAGTCACATTGACTAGGAGAGTGCCTCCCAGCTTACCCCAAATTGATCCAATATCTGGGACTTTTTCCCTAATTATGCTTGACTTACCAGCTATTTATTAAATTTTTATTAGTCACTAAATTGTTTCTTGGGGATTTTTTTTCCAATAATACTTTAAATTCAACAAGTGACTCGATGATCCCTATTATTTTGTATTGCTAATCTTACAGTTTTAAAAATACCAAATTCCAGCTTTATTTTTCAAAAGATTACTGAGCTATTTTAACAATTTTTTGGTAACCAATTGTTATAGAATGCAACACTTTTGTATTGTGTATTTAAGAAAATCTCTAATCCCCAACATTACTGATCCACTTGAGCAACCAAAAATGTTGTCAATTCAATGGATTTGTAAATTTTGTACTAGCTTAAAATGTTTAGTTGAACACGTAAAGTGCCCGTCCTTTATATTTTTGGAATATCCCATTTATCTGTCTTAGTTGATTGGATTGATAGTTTGGAATGTTTTCTATCATTTGCTTGTTTGTTTCGTGCCGCAGATCTTCTCTACAAGGACTACCAGAGCGACTAGAAGTTCAGTGTCACTACTTACTCTTCTACTGGTGTTGTAAGAGTTTTTTATTTTTTATTTTTATTTTTTTTTTCCGTTGCTTCTTAGATTTGTATATTTGCTTTTTTGCTTGGTGAGGCTAGAGTTATCTCTCTATTTATTGTTTTGTGTGTATGGTGTAATTTGTAGAGTATTTTTATATCTGACTCAATATGTTTTGTTCAAAAAGTAAAAGAAACCAGTTCAATAGATTTGATTCATATGTTTTTTATAGCCTTATATATATATGCGTGTGAGTGTTTGTATTAGTTCACATTTAGATAATGAAGTACTAGGAAATGGGGCTTTTGTTTTTGATCTCTTAGGTTTTGGCTTCGTCTAACGTTGTGATATATAGAATGCACATTTCAAGGAAGGGACTGGATGGGTTATGGTGATGCTCGCAAAGCATATGTAAGTTCTGAAATATTTTTTTTTTTTATTTTTCGTAGAACTTAAATTTGAGCTGGTTGTATAATTTCATTTTATGTTTATGTGGTGGTAGTGGAAATCTATTTTGATTCTCAGTGTTATCTTTGCCACGTAGGATGTTTAATATATTTAAGTTTCCTAGTTAAAACGCACATTGGTGTTTGTAAAGATCAAAAGGAAGGCTGAGGTTTTGACTCCTAATAGAACAAACCTAAAAGTAGACAGAAAACAAACCTAATAGAACATGTGCACTAATGTTGTTTTCATGTCTGGCATTTTGGCAGCACAAAACAGAAATAGAAACATTTGTTAATCATGCCCTTAGTATCCAGTAAACAGTTATGAGGTGTGAAGCTTCCCTACAGCACTCTATAAATATCTTATAATGAAACAAGAGGCTTCTGACAGGACAGTTGAGGTGGATGCAAAAACTAAGAGCTCTATCATTTGTTGATTCATGTTACTTCATTTTTTTTGCTTCCAATGTTCTCATTGAAGTTTTCTTTTGGAACTTGTGTGTTGCTATGAAGTTGGACTCACCTCAAGCCTCTTTTAATGCTCCGAATGTCGTCCGATTGAATCGGAGATCTGTTTGCAAATTTTTAGGGGTTCAGCGCACTTCCAGTTCAGAGCAATTTTCTCCTCCTTTCTTGTTTATTTACTTTGTGCTACAATGTGTACTTGTTTAAAGATCTGTCATGACTTCATTCACTTAGGTCTACATAGAAGTTTAAGTAGAGTATGCAAAAATTAGTGCTTTTGATCTCCAGCTTCCACTTCTCATTCTAGGGACTCTTCTCTATTTCTTCCATTTCTAATTTTGGCAGAATTAATAATAGATTAATTTCACTTTCGAGCTTTGAAGAGTTCAAGAATTTTGTTTTGCTTGTAGATTTTGAATCTATAGGATCAACTAGTTGAAGAAATTCAATCCTTAAAGCATAGCACAGCCTCAGTAGTTCAGTACTGCAATAGTAGTTCTGTATTTGAAAATTATTAATATTTTGAGCTTGATCTTTGATCAATTTTTTGGTTCAAGTTCTAGTTTTGGAGGGGCTAATTAGGCACAATTTTCCTTTTTTCTTTTACAACATTCAAGGTTAAAACTGTCAAAGTGCTGTTGAATTGGTGTTCTGCATTTGATAACAATGTGTTTGAACTTCTTAGTAGAGCATAAGCCAAATTTGTCTTGCATAATCATCTAAATCTTCTAACATGACCCCAAACAATTACAACATGACACACACACACACACATATTGTTTCTCCTGTTATCATGCCTTTATGAACTGAATGTAGTTTGTTTTCCATCTAATAATCATATTTTTTAGATGATTTGATTTACTATTTTGTTTTGATTACAATAACCAACTCTTTGATTTGGCTATACTATCAAATTGTCTGAGACTCATGAACTAACTTCAACTTCCCAGGAAAATTTAAGGAACATTTTGAAATTTCTCTGAATAATATATTGTTTATGCCAAATAACTCTGTTTTGTTGTATAGGCTTATGTTGCTCAATGGCATAGGCATGGTATAACAAATTAGCTGCTAATTAGAAAGCATGAACGAGTCTTGGAACTGTTTTCATTCTCTAGCATAACACACTCTTCTTTTGAGTTACTTCAACAAATGGTAGAGAATAAGTTGAAAAAAGGAAGATATTATAAGATTGATTTACAATCACATAATGGAGGAACACAATAGAGTTCCTCATTAGATACCCCTTCTCCTTTTCAGACTTAACATCAATATCCAAGAGAATTTCTACAAGTTTGGTACTTAATCTAACCAATGTAGAGTTGCAACCCTACCAAGTAACCCCACAAGTTGTGCATTGCCTGCCTGAAAACTATGTAATTAACTCCTGTGTGTGGCTCCTAATCAGAATTAGCATCTTCTCATGCATAGTGCACTAACCAAGTAGAAGGAATATATGATGATAGGATCTTAGAACACAAATACACACACATAATCAAATAAAAGAAAAAGGAGCACAAATGGAACAATAAGAAGTGGATAGCTAAAAAAAATGTAGAAGAAACTTGGAAATGCTGACTGTATGGATGAATACCATTTTTGGGCTTACCAATAGCAAAGCATTCCTCTTTTGGTATTATGCCACCAAGTAATTAAGTCAAATAGAATACTTGTCTTGTGAAAATGGTATATATCTTTTCATCTTTCTTTTGTTTGAGCAATTTACAGAATTCTTCTTGCTATATATTGTGTAGAGTACTTGTGATTACTATTATGCTCATTCAAGTTGTATATGCAATTATTTGAAATAATGAATACTATGCAAAAAATAAGGAAACTATTAAATTACTTCATTGACATTTCAAAATGCAGGATAATATGGTGGCCCAATCAAAGGAGCTAGCAGTCCAATTCCAGTGGATAAACAAATATTGGAGAATTGTCTTGGAAAAGGAAAGGGCACTCATTTCCGCGGGTTTGCTTGTGTTCACACAATTTGGCGCGCATCGACCTCTGTTCGGTAGCCCACAACAGTAGCAACAACCATCAACTTATGGACCATTTGGCTGTCTATTAAATAGTCCTCAGCCACCTATGTTTGGGGCATTTGGTCATCCATACCAACCATTTCAATCCGAGGCTGCAATACACGATCAATAATTACTGATTTCAGACATTGATGTTTAGAAACTAAGTTTTTGATAGCATTTCCTAATAGCTAGGCACCTAAATAGGTGGCAGCTGCTGCACCTCTGCCATGTTTGCAAATTGTCCAAAGGCAGTATAAGATAGTTAAGTGCAAGGCCAATAAAGTTTTTGATTAGAAACTAGCATGATGTCATCTTGTGTATTCTTTTTGACTAAGTTTTTGATGATTATATATGATGTTTTTTGGTACTGTTTTGAGAATTGCTGGAAGTGTGATTTGAACTACCTATATTTATTTTAATTAATGGTTATTATTAGTGTTGACATTAAATTTACTCTTCTTTTTTTTTTTTTTGAATGGGTAAGCATACATTAAATTTACTTTGTGTAGAAGTATATTATGAATGGATATATATAGCAGGTAGATTATGAATGGATGAAGTAGCAGATTATGAATGGATAGATATAGCATGATGTATGAAGCAGGCTTTATGAATAAAAAAATAAAAATAAATACATGTCCCAAATCCTCAATTGGGATAGAATAAATTCTCTATTCCAAATACTCAATTAGGACGGAATAAAACTCGAGTTTTATTTAGTCCCAAATGCTCATTTGGGAAGGAACAAAACTCCGCCCCAATTGAGTATTCGGACAGAGTTTTATTCAGTCCCAAATGCTCATTTGGGAAGGAACAAAACTCCGTCCCAATTGAGTATTCGGGACAGAGTTTTATTTCGTCCCAAATAGTCAATTGGGACGGAGTTTTATTTCGTTCCAATTAGTCCGTCCCTAAAGACCTTTTAGGACGCTATTTATGGAGACGGTTGCATCAACCGTCCCAAAAAGACTTTAGGGACGGTTTGGGCAGCTATAGGGATAGTTTTTTGTCCTTGTTGCCTTGAATTCTTGTAGAACACCTATTTCAATTCGTTCTTTATTGAGCTCTAAGTACAAAATTAACCTGAAAACATTTGCTCATTCGCTGCATATTTTGTGTGAATTTTTTCCCCACATATTTTGCATATTTTGTGTAGTTCAAAGAACTTCTCTATCTATCTATATATATATATATACACACACACACACACACACAACTAGCTAATGGTGCTAAGTGTGGTGATGTTCTAATCATGGAGAAGTGTAGTTGGACAGACAGAACTCTAGCATGTCTTTGATGAGATCCATTGAGTTGAAAGGTTTCCAATTCAAAATTTTGTACTCACTTGTTATACTAAGAAAATTAACATTTACATTGCATAACTTGGACCAACTTAATTCTCCGAACCATATAATAACTTCTCCAAACTTATTATGCAAATAATTGTCATTCAAATATGTACTTGTTGGAAAGGTTTCATATATTATTAAAAAAAGGTAATTTGGTACTATGGCACATCGAATGAGAGGAAAGAGAAATTATTACATTTTTCGACCAATAACAGCTTTCATAAACAATTAAGCTTAAAAATGTTAAAGCAAAAATCTGTGTGAATTTCAAGAGAATAAACCAAGTTTAAATATGTATATTACCTGGTTTTGAGATTTTTTAAAACTTAAATGTAATTATGGAATGATAGCATTTGTTTGGCTCTAACTTTTCAAATGAGACAATTAATTTGGACATCCCTAAAAAGAAAGACTACGGAAAGAGGGAGACTATTAATACGAGTGTCACTAATAAAAAAGCACGTTAGTAAAATTTAATTTGCAATAAAGTTATAAATTTACCTTTTAATTAAATATTTTTTTGATAACAATTTTTAATACAATTAAATAGCAATGAAAAACTTACCAAATTAAGTATTATTTTATTCTAATTGTGAATAAATAACCATCAGACTATTAATATGAGAGAGAGAGAGAGTAAACAATAGTAATGCCATTATATATATACACACACACACAAATAAAAAGGGACATACATGCGAGTAAAATCTAATTTATAAATATACCTTTTTTGAAATAGCAATGAAAAAGTTACCAATTATGTATTATTTTGTACTAATTGTGAATAAATAACCATCACAGAGACTATTAATATGAGAGAGAGAGAGTAAACAGTAGTAATGTCACTGTTATATATATATTATATGGACTAGAATCCTTTGCTGTAAACTGGTCATGCTGTACTCATGTTGTAGTTTAAATAACTTCATTTAAGGTATGTTTATTAAAAATGTAATTTAAGAATGAAACGAAACAACCAACTACGTTAATGGTTAAAAAATTAAAAATCAAAATATACTGTTTCCTTTTAATTCAAAATATAGAGCGCTAATTTTTTAGCTACTAAAATTAAATTGAACAAAACAGTGGATAATATGGTTCGTTGATCTTCCTCACCAATCACTGTCTTCCTTCTTGGATTCTTTCGCTCTCAGCTCTTTTAAATCAAAATATATGAGCTCCTAAAATTAAATCGAGTAAAACACTTGGATAATATGGTTCGTTGTTGTTTAGCCGGTCTCCTTCCAATCTTTCTCGCCGATCATTGTCTTCCTCTTTGGATTCTTTCCTCTCAGCCCTTTTAAATCAAAATATAGAACGATTATTTTTGAGCTCCTAAAATTAAATTGAACAAAACACTGTTGGTTGTTGCTTAGTCGGTTTCCTTCCAATCTTCCTCGTCGATCACTCTCTTCCTTCTTGGATTCTTTTTAGTCTTGTTCACAACACCTTTAATCTTGTTATCGATACTTTTTAATCTTATTCTCAACAACTTTAATATTTACATTAAAGGTCATTGAGTGCATTGAGGTAAAGAACTTTAATATTTAATTTTAATCTTTAATCTTGTTATCAACACTTTTTAATCTTGTTTTCAACACATTTTAATCTTTTTATTAACAACTTTAATATTTACCTCAACCTCATTTAATCTTGCTCTCAATATATTTTAATCTTGTTTTAAACACTTTTTAATCATGTTCTCAACACTTTTTAATCTTATTCTCAACACATTTAATCTTGTTTTCAACAACTTTAATATTTACATCTATCTCATTTAACCTTACTCTCAACATATTTTAATCTTTATCTCAACACTTTTTAATCGTATTCTCAACACCTTTAATCTTTACCTCAAAGCCATTTAATCTTATTCTCAACACATTTTAATCTTGTTCTCAACATCTTTAATCTTTACCTCAACGCCATTTAATCTTATTCTCAACACCTTAATTTAATATTGCTGTCAACAATTTTAATATTTACCTCAACCTAATTTAATATTGCTCTCTACATATTTTAATCTTTGTCTCAACACTTTCTAATCTTATTCTCAACACCTTTAATCTTATTATCAACAACTTTAATATTTACCTCAACCTCATTGAATCTTGCTCTCAACATATTTTAATCTTTATCTCAACATTTTTTAATCTTGTTCTCAACACATTTAATCTTGTTATCAACACTTTTTAATCTTGTTTACAACTTTAATATTTACATTAAATGTCATTGAGAGCGTTGAGGTAAAAAAACTTTAATATTTAACTCAACCTCATTTAATCTTGTTCTCAACATATTTTAATCTTGTTATCAATACCTTTAATCTTGTTATCAACAACTTTAATATTTACCTCAACCTCATTTAATCTTGCTCTCAACATATTTTAATCTTTATCTCAATACTTTTTAATCTTATTTTTAACACCTTTAATATTGTTATCAATACTTTTTAATCTTATTCACAACAACTTTAATCTTTAAATTAAATGTCATTGAGAGCGTTGAGGTAAAGATTAATCTTGTTCTCAATGACATTTAATTTTGCTCTTAAGACGTTTTAATTTTGTTCTCAACATATTTTATTGTTTTCCTCAACACTCTCAACCTCATTTAATCTTGTTCTCAATGACATTTAATATTACTCTCAACACAATTTAATCTTTACCTCAACGCTCACAACACATTTTAATCTTTACCTCAACGCCATTTAATTTTTGAGAGATGTTGAGGTAAAGATTAAAGGTGTTAAGATCAAGATTAAAATGTGTTAAGAACAAGATTAAATGGCGTTGAGATAAATATTACAGTTGTTGATAACAAGATTAAAAGGTATTGAGAACAATATTAAAAAGTGTTGAAACAGAGATTAAAATATGTTGAAAGCAAGGTTAAATGAGGTTGAGGTAAATATTAAAGTTGTTGATAACAAAATTAAATGTGTTAAGAACAAGATTAAAAAGTGTTGAGATAAAGATTAAAATATGTTGAGAGCAAGATTAAATTAGGTTGAGGTAAATATTAAAGTTGTTGATAGCAATATTAAATTAAGGTGTTGAAAATAAGATTAAATGGCGTTGAGGTAAAGATTAAAGGTATTAAGAACAAGATTAAAAGATGTTAAGAGTAAGATTAAATGGTGTTAAGGTAAAGATTAAAAGTGTTGAGAATAAGATTAAAAAGTATTAAGATAAATATTAAAATATGTTGAGAGCAAGATTAAATGAGATTGAGGTAAATATTAAAATTGTTAATAACAAGATTAAATTAAGGTGTTGAGAATAAGATTAAATGGCAATGAGGTAAATATTAAAGTTGTTGATAACAAGATTAAATTAAGGTCTTGAGAATAAGATTAAATGGCGTTGAGGTAAAGATTAAAGGTGTTAAGAACAAAATGAAAATGTGTTGAGAGCAAGATTAAATGGCGTTGAGGTAAAGATTAAAGGCGTTGAGAATAAGATTAAAAAGTGTTGAGATAAAGATTAAAATATGTTGAGAGCAAGATTAAATGAGGTTGAGGTAAATATTAAAGTTGTTGATAACAAGATTAAATTAAGGTGTTGAGAATAAGATTAAATGATGTTGAGGTAAATATTAAAGTTGTTGATAACAAGATTAAATTAAGGTCTTGAGAATAAGATTAAATAGCATTGAGGTAAAGATTAAAAGGGCATTGAGGTAAAGATTAAATGCGTTAAGAATAAGATTAAAATGCGTTGAAAGCAAGATTAAATGACGTTGAGGTAAAGATTAAAAGTGTTGAAAATAAGATTAAAAAGTGGTGAGATAAAGATTAAAACATGTTTAGTGCAAGATTAAATGAGGTTGAGGTAAATATTAAAATTGTTGATAACAAGATTAAGAAGTGTTGAGAATAAGATTAAAAAGTGTTGATAACAAGATTAAAATATGTTGATAGTAAGATTAGATGAGGTTGAAGTAAATATTAAAATTGTTGATAACAATATTAAAATGTGTTGAGAACAAGATTACAGATTAAAGGTAAATATTAAAATTCTTTACCTCA